AATGATGCGAGTTATTAAGCACACTGTACAAAATAATATCTATTTTTTTAATATGGTTTAATAGTCTATCGAAACCTTTATAGAAGTACAACAAAAATACAAAATCCAATCTTTCGAATATTATGTTTGAATAAAAAAGATACAGAAGGATCCTCCACACAGAATTATATAGAACTATATAACTATATAACTGGTATCTCTGGGCAATCAATTTTCCATATTATACGATTCAAATAAAATTTAAATTAAACAAGTTAACACGCGTGAAATTAGAATAGGTATATAATTATGACATTAACGTCTGGTATAAAAAAAAAAGATTTAGGTAAGGTAAACATGTCATAGATTATCTCGGTCCAACTATGTTTAATTCTATGCCAATCTATGCCATTCTACTGCATCTTAAAATAAATGTTATTCATAACTTAAATAAAAAAATGATATTTAATTATAATTTAATTAAATATACTTACTTAACAGACAACTATAAAGTCATAGTTATAATTAGAAAATTCACTTTGTAGAGGAATTAATATTTATTTTTTATTTTAATTTTAGTATGTTCTATTTGTTGTAACTCATTAGTAATAATTACTAAATTATTTACCCCACCACAAGCCATGCTTAATGAGGTAAAAACTAATCATTAATTTTCACTGTTATCAATCTAATATTCTTGAATAAGTAATAATTTGATATTTTTTCTCTATATGGAGAATCTATGAATCATAAATATTATGTTTTTTTTAATAAGTAACCATGGCAACGAAAAATCGGTCAAAAACAAAAAAACGTGTATCCAGCCCAAAAACATATTTATGTAAAATAAAAAACCCAGGGACTATTCGTGAGCGTATATGTGCAGGTACATTCATTTTAATGTACACCAAATCAATAAGCAATATTTATCTTGTACTTACATATTTAATTTTTTTTTATATATATTTTATGCTAATTGGCAGACGGCAGTTAACAAGGATACATATATGTAGGCAATTAAATAACAGTGACAAAGCTATAACAATAAGAAAAAGCTTACAAATAATGTAAGTATAGCCAGATAACGTTATAGCTAAAAGTTTTAGCTGAAAATAACTAAGGCATATTAACTAGGAGCATTTTGTATGGATGATTACCATGGATGGATTGCAACCACATACAGTAGAGTGGTGTGGACATACAACTGGACTAGGTTTCGTATTCCACAGGTAGGTACTATATTGGTATGTAGGTATGTCAAATGTGGCACATTTTAAAAGTTTAAAGTATTGTTCTTCCACATAGTAATGCACCTATTTGGGCTACACACTATGCCCTGTTAAATTATTATTAATATATTATTTTTAATGAAACGGGGCATGAAACTGGCAATGATTTATATATTCCTCCTTTTTTTTTTTAAATTTGTTTAAATAATAAACAGAAACAAATTTGTTCCATGCATTCCATAATCATATTGCTTTATTTATTATTATGATCCATATTCGCGTCGAAGTCCTATTAAAATTTAAAACGTATTAATTCGTAGTTATATCTAATACACGATAGTTCAAACGTGCGCAGTACAGGCATTTTATGTAATCAATAGTCTGAATGAAACAGTTTCAATGTTTCATGGGCACTATAATATTCAATTTCACAGTTTCGTCGCTTTGAACATATATTTCTGGAACCCTAGTCATGAGATTGAAAAACGATCGTCAATCGTCGATCGTCTTCGGTTTGAAGGTCATTTTAATATAAATTATAAAAATTTACTAGTCATTACTTTTCAATCATCTATTTTTAATTTTAGAAAAGTCAAATAACTAATGATAACTAGCTAATAACTAATGATATTAGACTTACATAAACAAATTAATATTGGACTTACATAAACAAAATAATTGGATAAAGCTAAATGACAAGTTACATGGAAACCCCGGTCCATTTATAATTTATAATTTATTTGGCATTCCAAATGAAAATACTATAATATTTTATAGTTGTACTTGTACAGCAGATTAATCATATAATATCGAAGTGAAATTCTATGGCACGGGTTCCAGAAAGTAGTATCCTATTAATTGTGTCATTTTATTTTTTCTTCATCAATTATATGATAATATAATAATTTATTTAATTATCGTGTTTATCAAAGAATGATCATTTTTTTTTTTTTTAATTGATTGTAACATATTGTGCTGTATGCTATAAATTATAATGGTATGTTTAGCTTTATTGGATTAAATATTATTGTTTTGAATGTTCAAACATATTATGATAGCTTAATAGATATAAAATGTAACAGATAGGTATATAACCAAATGCGCCCGCAGGATAAAATCCTTCCAGGGGCAAGACGAAAATTACTTTAAATTTATAATTTATAATCTAATATTAGTTATAGTGATATTAATATTATATCCATAGGTGAAATTAGGGGGCACTGGAGGGCTTAAGTCCCCTCAAAAATATTCAAAGCCCCCCCAGAACTTTATATCATCATATTGATAGTAAAAATAATAATATATTAATATGTGATAACTACTGAAAAAATAAATAACAAAATAAATTTTTTTAATTAAATAAATTACACAACTATTAATTTTTGAGGGGTTTCAAACCCATTTGTTCATTTGTTTTAGAGTATGTGTAGAAAACCGATTTTGCGTAAAAATTCCCGTTTTTCCTTAATTTTTATGTTGTTTTTACCGGCGCTTTTGAAAACTATTGGGAATTTTAAAATTTGACCTCTCGAATACACCAACTAGATTCACTTTTCCATCAAACAAGATACTGTTGAATATTTTATAAATTTAAACTGAAAAGTTGAACATTTTATAAATTTTTAACTACAAAATTATTATTCAATTTTAAATTTGATAAATTTTGTCAACATTCGATCTTTAAATGCTTATAAAAAAAATTATGAATATATTTTTTTAATATTTTTCAACTGTTATTGTAACAATATATCAGGAGCCTTGTATTAAATTTTTAAACTTTTTGGCATAACAGATAAACCTTTATTGATATTTAAAAAAAAAAAAACTAAAAAAATTGAAAACTGAAAATGTCCGTAAACAGCTCATAATAGAGAGTCAAAATATTTTCAAAATTGTATGGAGTATAGGAAATGCTAATATAAACATTCAAAGAAATTTTCATGTATCTACAGTTACTTATGAGGAAATTTGTATTACATTTTAAAATCTTGGATTTAAAATGAAAATTTTTTATGAATTTCTAATTCGAATAAATTTTCAAATTTTCATAATTTTTACGTATTTTGTCAATTTTTGAACTTTTAATTCTTATAAAAAAAAATTGTGACTTAGGATTTTTAATTTTTTTCATCTGCCTTTGAAACAATATACTAGGAGCCTTTATTAAATTTTCAAGCTTTTTTAACCAACAAATAAAATTTTATTGATATTTATAGAAAAAAAAAATGGAAACTGAAAATGTTATGCTCAAAATAAATCAAAATATTTGGAAAATGTTATAGTGTATAGAAAATGCTAATATGAAAATTCAGTCAACATTTCATGTACCAACGGTCATTTGTTTTTGAGTTTCACCAAAAACCAAAATCGATTTTTCGAAAACAGATTTTGTGTAAAAATTCCCATTTTTCCTTAATTTTTCTTTTGTTTTTCACAGCGCTTTCGAAAACTACTGGAAAAATACCAACTAGATTCACTTTCCTATCAGAAAAGATACTGTTGAAGAAAATCCAAGCACTTTTACCATCCTAAAAGGTGATGGACAGACACAAAAAAAAAAATTAAAAAAAAAAACACACATCATTGTAAAAATCATCGTTTCACTTAGAATCTAAAATTAGAAAAACATTTTATAAATTACCACAAATATTTTGAAATGTGGTTATAGTCAAATGATATAAAATTAAATAAAAAAATGTAAAATAATACAATTACGTAACTTACTCTATTTTCTAATAAAATTAGCAATGGAACTATATTCAATTCAGAATATTCCTATTATACATTTATACTCTTACAAAAGTTACTGATTTTATGCAAAATAATGACCTGAATATTCATTTAGTATATATATCCGACAGTGGTTGTTTCTTGGTTAAAATAATAAAAAAATTAGAAACATCAAATCCAACAATAATTGAAAGTCTTGCGATAGTGGAAAATGCAGCGATCAAATTAAATGAAGTTCAAGGAGAATCCGGAGTTATAATTAAAAATAAATTAAACAACAATATTTCTAAAAACGTTGCTTTACAAAAAAATCAAAACTATTAGAGATATTATTTTGAATGAAAATGAAAGTACGTCAATTGTCAATATATATATAATTAACATCATCTGAATATCTGATATATGAAACATGAAATATATGTCCCATTATCCTCGGCCGACGTTGAACGCTTCTTCAGCCGCTACAAGTCAATTTTGAGACCAAACTGTTGAACATTTATAACATCTATTGGCTTTATTTTTCGTAATATTATGTTTTGTTGATTTACCGAAATGTTAAATAGCTTTCCTAATTCCTTAATCTATAAACTTTTGACAGCAGTAATCCTAGAAAAGTACTATTAATACTTGCATAAAAAATTAATCATTGCCCAACATTAAAAAAATATTAGATTATTAGAATTCCTTTATTTTCTAGTTAATTAGAATATTATAAAATAAAGTCACATAAAAAAAATCGTCTTAAATATTAGACATTTTCAGTGTAATATTATAAACCCGTTCGTTCGATAATTTTACTATCCAAAGAACAGGGACGCACACAGCACACACGCATGCGTGTATTGGAAATACAAATAATATTACAGTAATATAGCGGCTATAGCCACATGCCCACATGTAGTTGTTGTCGAGTCGCATCTCATTTCCCCACCACATGTATGGCTTTAATTGAAAGGACATTATTAAGGCTTTGTTTCATTTTAACTGAGAATTTAATGATTCGACCATTTCAACTATAACAGTTGAACTGTTTAAGTCTCGCAGGAATGACATATTGTACTGATGATACCGCGTTTGTTACAGTTTAGTCTTTTAGTTTCTTATGTCTCTGAATTTACTTTCGGCTCAATATACGAGCAACTGCAGCCTATCGATGTGGTTCGGACGTCGACAGTCGGAAACACAAGTTACGACTGTTTCGAAGATCAATATGATATGCCACTGGTGTTTTGGCATAAAGCCAATTTAGAATCCAAATTATCGTTGATCCGATCATTGGACAATCAAGACTTGAGCATTAAGCGTGGTAAGTTAAAAGCTTATACAATATAGTGGTGGCTCTAAATTGTGGAAGCTTTGAAGCATATTGTATATTTTAAATATTTTTACCACCGCACCCTTTTTTGGACCAAAATTAGCAGCAGGGGCCAGGGGGCATTAATAATTATGAATTTTAATATTTGCCATAAAACTTTTGTGTTGAGGTCTTACGATTATATATATATTTAATATTTATATACCTAGCCACCCATTTCAGACATGAAGCAATTGCTTCAAAGTTCAAATAATCCTATATCCTGCCGCCACTGAATATACGTCATACACTATTTTAGTAACAATGGTGTTTAAATTCAATTTACGTCATGTCACAATTGTTTTCGTTCACGTTGTTTAGAACTGCTAGCAGCTGGTTGTAAGTGGCTCTGGAATTCGGTACCAGGGCTGATATTACTAGAAGTCTATTCGGGTGACCAACAAATTAAGTCTTTCAAAAAGCGTGGAAACGTATACTCTTCAATAATAACTAAAATCAACAGTACGCATTGGAGGTGTGAGGATAGCAGTTTTGTGGAACATGTAGAAATCAATTTTGAAAATAAAATCACGTGGGTCACTAAACGCTATTCATTATTCAAAAAATAATTATAGTTATAATTACTTACCTATAAATAATAATTGAGTTTGAATATTTAAAAATATTCTTCTGGTTTCATATTATCCTATATAACAATGGTAACTAGAATTTATCATGAGTAGGTATAATACATCTTACATTCTTACCTATATTATTATTGATTCATTTTTAAATAATTTAATTTTGTCAATTTATTAGGTTTAAAAGGTAAAGTTTGAACATTTAAAACACAAAACTCTGCCAAGTTTGTATTCAAGTTGAATACTTACAATTTATTGTAATTATTTAAATATTGAAACTTTTCTGTGTGACATGACACTAAAATATATATTTGAATTGCAATAATGTACTAATATATAGTATAGCAAGTTTAGCAAATTACTAATATATAAAATTAAAAAAACTTTATTTTAATTAAAATGATTGATTTCATTGACGTATATCAGCTGCTTACCAGCTATATCGTATACTGTATAGTTATACGATATATAGGTACATCTGATATAGTACTAAATTAGTCGTCATAACTCAGTATCATTAATTTTTTTTCTACTAATATTTCAATATTTCTAATATAATTTTTAGTTTAGTTATTTTTATTTGGACTTGTATATATATTATATACAAGTATACTTTATTAATTTTTTCACTTTACTCTGTCAAATATGACATAATAATTTTAATAGTATGTGTTGTCTGAATTATCAAGGACGACGGACCCTATAATAATACATGTTTGTAATATATTTTACTATAATATTTGAACGTCAAACGAACGTTGAAGCATAGGTTTGAAATCAGAAGAAATATGAAAATCAGTTGGTAATAGACAATAATTGTGGACGTATTAATATTTTTACTGGATAATGTCTATGATATTATATTAAAATTTAGAAATATTTCTCGTTCATGAAAATCTAACGGTTCCTAATATTTATAGAAAACCTACAGTGTGGTGAATTCAAATAAGTTTCGTATAGTGTTGTAGTTGAAGCCAATTTGTCGGCAGTGACGATCAATCAGTGTGAAAAATCTGGAGAACCAAATGCATTCAACGGGACGAACAGGTGCCACCATACGACCTACTGTACTTATAGGCCGGGTGATCGACCGTTTGCTGCTGGAAATTACTGGTGTGAGTGCAGACCAGGATATTATTCAACATTCGCCAAGTTCGATGGGGCACTAGTAGAATGTGAGTACTGCCATAATACAATAACTATATTATGATTATGATTACACAAAACGAACGAATTAGTATCAGTAGAAAGAGAGAGAGAGAGATAACTGTATACGTTATTGTTCAGTGGCTTCACCGGAAGATATCGATAGCAAATATTCGTGTCACAAATGCTTGGAAGGATGTGATGTCTGCGATGGACCTGAGAGCTGTATGGCCAAATTCATGTGGATTAAAAGGTGAATTATTAGAAAGAATCAGAAACATAAGCGTACCATAAAGAGTACCCTACTACCCTGAGTACCTACCATGGTACATATGATATACAGTGGCCTATGGATACCTATGTCAGAAAGACTTGATAGTCGTAAACAAAATATATGTACCTAATAACTTTTATTCAAATCAATATTTTAAAATATTTATTTAGCACAATTTATTATTAATCAATAATCATACTTATAATTATGAAAAAAATAATAACCATACTGAGTAATAATATAGTAATTGCATATAGTTTGTTAAGCACATTTGTCGGTTCTTTCTTAAGGCGTGTTTCCACTATACACGTACGCGTGTAAGTGCATACAAATCCTTTGCTGTGATTTGTTGGTTAGGTTAAGTAACCACACGATTAACCACGATACCATGTTGTTGGACATAGCTGAACAATTTTCGTGTACACGGCAAAAGTGTATACCTAGTGGAAACCCGCCTTTACACTCTGTATACATTGTTCTGTTTTAAATTAAAAACAGGCAATATTTAAGTTATCCATTGTGTTTCAGAAGTACCTTTCTTGGTATCACGGTCGTCTGTATAATATCTACCGTGATATTGATATGGTTCGTCCATAAGAACCGTCGAATCAAAGTGTTCCGAATCGCAAGTCCAACGTTCCTGATCATCACGTTGATCGGCTGCATTATCATGTACTCGGAAGTAAATATTAACAAAACTATAAATATAAATCATAAGAAACAAAGACAGTTAGGTCTTTCAAATTTAAAAATCAAAATTTAACACATTAATTTAAGTGACCAAGTCAATGATGAGTGACGATAACTAGTCATTAAAGGTAAATTTGAAACCAACTTTCAGAAACTGGTTCTCTTTTATCATCTCTAAATTATTTTTCTAAATTATACTCCCATAGTCCCATAATAATAAAATATTCAATATAATATTATGTATTTATCAATGACTAAAACTAAAGTCAATACATCACAGATATTTTTATTAAAAATAATAGTGACCATTACTATGATATAACAATGTGTATTTGTATATTTTATAATTTTTAATATTGTAATATATTAAGTTATACTACTTTATTTTACTAAAGTTAATTATTTTTATTATTAATGTGAAACAAAACATAAATTTATGTTATATTAAACAAAATCGAATTTGATTTGGTTCATTTATGCGAATCTCTTAAATATATTAATATATTGTGATATCACTTGCATTGAGTAATTTTCTCATTATATCATAATATATAATATTAACATGCAAATAGCGCTAGTCCACATAAACGTTCATCGTCCATTATCGAGTGCAGCCACGCTTTCAATCTACAGAATACAGATACACTCATAAGTCATAAGTAAAACTGTAAAATAAAATAATTGGGCCTTATATTTTATAATAATAAAATATAAGATGTGTGTGTCTTTAGAAAAACAGTGTAAATTGTTTGTATTTTAATTAGGTACCTATACAAAATTGAACAAATCCCAATACTAAAATTAAAAAATCGAAATGCCCAGGCTTCAGAAGCAATTAACTTTTAGTTACCTACTTTCAAACGTTAAAGCATAGGTATTAATACCTATAGTTTTCAAAACTTAACCATTTACATAAACTATAGATAATGTGATAAACTATTTTTTATAATACAATAAAATATTTAACAAATTATAAAAATAAATTTCCTTCAATTTCCATCATACCTATAAATTATACTTAAATATGTATTAAAAGAACCAGTGCGGTTTAGAAACTCTCAGGTGCACCAATGTACAAAATATTACTATCTGTGCGAATATTAATATTTATATTAAATTATATATTTCGTAGATGGGCATTATGTTCCCTGAATGCACCCAACAACTCTGTGTGGCAACTAAGTTGACACGACATTTTGGCTTTTGCATAACATACTCGGCGCTGTTGATGAAGACCTGGAGGGTATCGCTGACGTACAGAGTGAAATCGGCACACAAATTGAAGCTCACTGATAAACAGCTGCTGCAGTGGATGACCCCGATATTGGTGATAATATTAGTCTATATGGGAGCTTGGACTCTTAGCGACCCACCCCAAGCAGTACTGGAAAAGGAAAAGGAAACGAACCTGAGATTTTGGAAGTGTTCGAACGACTGGTGGGATTATTGTCTGGCGGCTGGTGCGCAACATTTATTGCTATTTATACTAATAAAAAATATTGTGGGTACGTAGAAATTAGGACATTTTCCTCCCAAGTGATATTTTCGCTATAGCCGAGTTATTAATATCCAAAAACTGAACATGCATTTCGGGAAAGTCGAAAATATTCACCGATTCGGTTACCCACGTACGATGAGTAAGCAGCATGTCCGAAATAGTGTGAGGAAAATGTCCAATTTCTAGATTTAGTAAAATATACTCTGTTACGCGTACAAGATGACATCAGTAACTGTATAATGTGATGACGATATGCCTATAATATATAGGAGAAGTGCTGTTCCTGGCTTGGGGAGTTCGGGTGTGTTATGTTGTGCGGAACGCAGAGTCGTTTTACAATGAAGCGCAGTCCATCAACTTTGCCATCTACAACATATGCATAGTGAACATCATTATGATGACGATCCAGTAAGATTAACTCAAAACGATTAATGATTATCATTTATCACTTATTTGTGTTAACAATATATTTTCTGTGCCATATAGGCATGGTAGTCAAAAATCGCGGACATTTCCCTCCCCCTCCCAATTCCCATCATATTTTTAAGTCTAAAAATATTATTACTATTTAAATTTAATACTATTTATTATTTAAAAATATAATAATATCTATTCAACACATTAAAAAGTAACTTTAAACAAAAATTAAGTAAAAATATAATTTTGAATAAATATAATAGGTAGTACCAGGTTAAAAGATTTTCTAAATAAAATATAATTAATAACTAATCAAAAAAATGGTTAAAAATTTCGACATGTATTCATGTATATGTACTCATGCTTTGACAATACTTCTTAGTAAAATAAAACAACATTAAAATATTAAATATACCCAATTGTTTTTAAACAATATATTATTACATGTATGTAAAGTTTAGTTTTAATTTGTGTTGCTAAATTACTAATTTGAATATTGTAAGTTAGTTAAAATTGTAAAACTATGTTGTTATACCACGGATTAAATAGTTAAATAGTTTTATTTAAGCTGTGGTAATACTAGTATTTATAATCAATGGTAGTATTAATAAACTTGACATGCAATGGTGCCCAATATTGCTAATATACGACATTATACTGATTATACTTTATAGTATATTTATAGCTGCAGTAGGTAGTCGTCGTCCGCGGGCAGTGTACGAAACAGTCCCGGATGTTTTCATGGTTATTTGTATTGGCATAGACCTATAATAAACTGTGTTCACGGGATATACAAAATAATATCAAAGGTACATAATATCCATAGTGTCATAGTATTAAATGCATATTGTATACAATATAATTAAATCAAATATTATGTACCTATATAGTTTATTTCGTCAAAGACGGCATACTCATAAATACCTACTGTACCTATCATTTTTATAACAATAATACTATTATTATATAAATCGTCGTGTTTTTCTGCCGCCGCAGCCGATCAGAAATAACAATGTAGGTACATTAATTTAATTAATGGAAAAAACACAAAAACCAACAATAAATTATGGAATACTGACTATCAAGATAACTGTTATATTTTGTGACTGCGTTTAATTTGTTCATACTATTTAAAAGTACTATATTATTAAATTTCTATTAAATTACATTATTATGGTTTTCCAACACAAAATGTATAACATACTATAATATTAAATAAATATAATATTATATACATGTAAAATTATCTAGATTAATTAATACAGACAATGACATTTTCATCTATATAAGTCTCAACACTGGCGTATAGAGAGATGGTTGTACCCGAAAAATGTTTGTCCACTACTTCGCTCATCTAAACTATTAATAAAAGTTATAACTAAAATAATATAGTTGTCCAAAATTTTATTTTTATAAAATCGACATTTTTCGAATAATACTTTAAGAATATTAAATTAAAAATGTAAATTGTCATTCAAATGAATAAAAAACTTAAAACAATTTAAAAGAAATATTTTAAAAATAGTTAGTGTTTTCTGAAATAATGAGTGTCTAACCTTGAATTTAATGGTTCACTCCGTACAGAACAATATATTGTGGTACCTAAGTAGAAAGTAGGTACCTACTTGGCTACTTTAAAGTTTAACGTATCGGTGTTTTGGGTTGCTGCCATAGTGCCACATTGAGCAATTAATAGGTAACTAATAGGGCTCTGGATTTTGAGTTAGACGCTATGCACTTGTCTTAGTTAGATATTAATTTGTAATTTAATTTTGTTATTTATTTAGCTTTTTTCTGTTTCCCGACATTGGTCCCAATTTCAAATACACATTAGGATTCATCCGGACTCAATTGAGTACTTCAGTGACCATAGCTTTGGTGTTCGGTTCAAAAGTCGTGAGAGTATTGAACGGCCAAGGTGACCACTGGGACAACAAGGCAAAAGGCCTAGTGTCATATGAAATGAACGATGTATGTGAAGAAACTAACGATTTACAGACAGAAAACGAAGAACTCAAAGAAGAAATATTCAAATTGGCAACGCAAATAGGTCTGTTGAAAAATTCACTCATGCATGTGAATAACAGACACCTGAGGAAGACTGGTTGTCAGTGTTGTAATCCAATTGCTTCGAATCAACAGAGCCCTACAAGTAAAACGGGAAGTTTTTTCAAAAGTTTGGGATCTAATAGCTGTTTAGCGCCTTCAACAAGCGCTTAAAAACTGTATACAATAAGTAAAAGGAAATATTGGCTTTTAATTATTAATAAAATATTTACTTTACAAATATATATATAAAAAAAAAGACTTAAACAATTTGTGTAGGTACATACACGCATATAATACAATTTTATTTATAAATATGTTTATAATATTTAAATATATAACGATCTAATACCATCAATCGTTAATTTTTGTTGAAAAAAAAAATAATAAATAAATATAAATGGTTCTGGTAAGTTTGATTCTATTGCATACAAACAGTTATATTATTTTACATTTCTGTTTTTTTTTTCAGTCTTATATAGGTAATTATTTTTAATAGAAAAAATATTTATCCTAAATATCAGTTTATCATAATGTAAAATACAACTGACAATAAAAAATAACCCTAACTTAGATAGTGGAGACAAACAGTACCAGATTATATATATATAGTTTTGATTGAGATATTAAGGTTAATTTTGAGTATATAATAATATTATGATAAACTGTGGTTAATTAGCAAGAAAAAAAATTTATGTATTTTTAGGACTAAACACAAAATACAAGTCAATTCAAACGGCAAAATTACATAATAATTTTTTTGTCATAATGATACTATAACTACATCAAGGTAAAATAGAAAAATGTACAATACACATATAAGTTTTTGTCATCACAGTAAAAATTTTTTATGCAAACCACGATATCCATTAAAGTACCAAAAATGTATACCAATGGACAAAAATAGGACAGACCCAGAGCAGATCCAAGCCCCCTCTGCATTAATTTGAATTTACACTACACAAATATTTATCTTGTACGTTTTTAAATATTATACAAATAAGTGTCAAATCCCTAGAGATAGGTAGTGTAACATATGAATATACTATATTATTTAACTGATTTAATTACCTATTTAAGTTGTTAAATTATTAGATTAAACATTACTTTAAACAAATGTAGAAATACAATACATGTGTATGATGTAAGCTTGAATCCTTGGATTTGTCTTTTGACTGATACCAGTAATTAATACTATTTTAAAAAAATTTTCATGATGACATTAACATTTTAAAATCCAGATAATATACAGGTACACAACTTTTAAATCAATAAATTAGACTTAATAATTGATGCACTTTCTAAATGGTATCGTCCACATTTAGTTTATATAAACTATGATTTAACTCTTTAAATATTTACACTAAAATCAAACTAAATACATTAATTATAAACTATAAGTCATGAACATAATCAATTAAACAAAAAATTTACAAAAAAAAATAAGAAAAACATCAAAGAAGTCTAGAGATCTAATGAGCCAAGTTCAATGGCTCTTGTAGCTCTTGAACAGGCACCGGTACACATTGTTCTTCAAAATTTTGAATGTTTGCCACCATTGTGACATCTACGTTGCTGGGTGACGAATCAAACTATAACACACAGACATAAATTATTGTTAATAAAAAACAGAATTTTGTGCATACGATTAAAAATTGTTTGCACAAGACACTGGTATTCATCAGTCGACCAGTGTCCCAGTATACAGTTTTCAGTATGCTGACCTTTTTCGGTCTACCTCTCTGCTTGGGTCCAGGAAGGTGAGCCATGCTGGCGTGCTGCTGCATAATATGATATCTTAACTTGTCTGACCTCGAGAAACTCTTTGGACACTCTGTGCACATAAATGGTCGTTCTCCTGTATGCGTCCTGTGGTGACGTTGCAAATGTGATAGTCTTAAAAATGACAGATTGCAGAATGAACACTGATGTGGTTTCAATCCGGAATGGGTTTGCATGTGACGCCTAAGGTTTTGTTTGTTCAGGAACGTCCGTTGGCACGTTGGGCACTCAACTGACCCGGTGAGGTTAACTTTGTTTTGGGCCTCAATAAAGGCCTGAAAATCTACTTGGGTTGGCTGGTACTTGGGTTGCGACAGTATTGTGGGTTTGTTTTCGTCCATATGCTCTTCCATCATCACTTGAGGGCTTAACATAGCTGAATGTTCGAAAGACGTATTATTATCTGATGAATCGTCCTCGCAAGGTACTTGGAATGCTCTCGAATCGGTATCAATTGAGCTAGTGCTACCATTTGTCTACAAAAAAATAAAATGTTTTATTTTACTGCATATTAACCTAGATATTAACTTATAGACTGTAACCAATATTGGATTATTAAATTATTTACCATTTCAAACTTATTATTAGCATCTTGGTCAGAAGTTTCAGATTTAATTGGTGTATAATTGAATGTCGGCTTATTTTTCGGTTGATCGTTGGATACAGTTTTCTCTGACAAACCTAAAAATTAATTATTATGATAAATGGTTATTTTTAAAATTTAAATTTTTTTAATTAACCTTTAATTTGCAACTCTCTGGCGACTTTCAAAAGAGAACTCAAACTGCTCTCTTGTACTTCAACAGAACCCACATACATATACTGGCATAGACTCTGCATCTCATGTAAAGTAACACCTCTCATTATCACCGTAGGATGTTTACACGGATTTTCTTGAAAGATTGTCTCAAAGTATGGACTACACGCGGACAAGATTAGCTTATGCGCCTAAACATAAAATTCATAAAATATTTCGGTTAATAATTATTAGGATCACTTGAATTATTAATTTAAAATTATTGTAAACTTGATAAACATACCCTCAATAGGCCATCTTGACAAGCAATTGTCACATCGACGAGAATTTGTTCGTTAAACAGACATTCGAACAGTGCACGTAAATTTTCCAAATGATTATTCCACCGTAGATGAAATGATTTATTGCCGACTTCCATGTCGTTAGTCATCTAAAAAATAAGTTTAAAAAATTATATTTCTTTTTAACTTTACAGAAATATAAACGATATATTAATTTTCTTTTAAACAAACATTTCTGTTTTTTGGACAGTACAATTCTCACTTATTTCATTTTTTTGTTTTATTGAAAATAGTTTTTTAGTAGGTAACATAAATTATTATTTATGAATTCTCACACTATTTGTTTAATTATTAAAGTGCAGACGTAATTAGCGCATTTTATAATAACTATATTATTTTTGGGAGATTATTCTTCAATTACCTAATTTTCATTGTAGGCATATTATTTCTATTATCATCCCAAATAATTAAAATTTAAATGCAAATATTTCGATAGGTATAAAATACGATAATTATAGATATAAGGTACCCATTATTAATTGCACGATTAATATTCAAAATGTTTTTAATGTTTTATAAACAATATTATACGCCGTTGTTTCGTTCATTTTTATGTACGCGTAATATTGACTAGAATTTTGGTCACCCCTGCGAAGTACCCGAGCATCATGCCGGGGGGCCTTGGATTTAGTGTGTGTATATCTGTGTATATTCTCTCACACAAACACTCGTACACAAGCGCGACGCGAACATACACCGTGTGCTGCGGAAAGGGACGGGTGTATGGTTGGGGGCGGGCACGCCACAGGCGGGGGAGCCGGACCTTTTTGGATAGACCTGCTGCATGCACGTCCTGACTATGGGGCAACATTATAAAACCTTAGCGAGGGTCCCGCATGTGCGCACCAACGCAGTGGCTACAGTTTAAAAACGTTCACGTCATTATTCGGCTGATTGAATATTATAGGAAATCGACTGTTTCCCCTCGAAGTTGGTTTAAAAAACTAAAACCAAAAAAGTCGAGATTATGGAATATTTTGTAATTTTGTGGAAATTCAGATCAATGATATCTAATCTTGTTGGTAAATTTTGATTTTTTTTGTATAAGAGGACGAAATCATCCCAATATAATTTATTCAGTTATATTATTAAATGTACGATAATGCTTATGCTATTCAGATAATGGCTATAGTCACCTAGGCATTATTCAATAATAGTAAAAAATGCAGTTATAAAGCGTATAATTAGTTAATAAATATATACAGGGTTATTCAAAATGATTCATCCGATTTAAAGTGCTTATATTATTTTATTTTTTAGGTTTAGAACAATATGTTATACATTAAATAAAAGAAAAATATGTCAAGTTTAATTAACTGTATCTATAAATGTTCTATGTGAGCTCCTTTGGTTACACGAATAACATCTAGTCGGTACTCGGTAGTCAGATTCATACCATACTTTTTGCAGCATAGAGTATAGACTACATGGCTGTTGTTATTCGATTTTTCAAACTAGATTTGATGGCAGTGGTGGTATGTACTCAGTGTCTTTAACATATCCCCAAAAGAAATAATCACATGGCGTTAGATCTTTATATAGTTATTTTAAATCGGATGAATCCCAGAATCATTTGGAATAACCCTGTATATTTTTGTATTCAAATATTAATTTTAATGCTTATGATTTTAAATTTATACTTTACAGGGATTAGCTATTTATCTCCATTATGATTTAAATGTGACCCAGTGATTCAGAAATTAAAACTAAAAATATAATAGGTACTATTATAATACTATACATAAGTTCTGATGTCGCTCGAACGTTTTATTTTGGTATTATCATATTAGAGGTTATGCCAGTTATGGTATATGTAAATACACAAATTAACTAAATTTAAATAACAATATGATTCTATATATGTATGAATTTTAAGACTTTTGAATAATCAATAGAAAAATATGATTTATATCTATCAAGATTCGAAAATGTCGAAAAAAACGAATGAAATTGGTTATACATATATATATATATATAAACGGAAAAGTAAACAACACTTCGAAATTAATATATTACAACGTTTAAAAGTCTTCCATTATTCGTTGAACTGAATTATATGACATTTGGTTATCGTAATAATTTTACTAACAAGTGATACTGAACTTGGCTCTTCAGTCTTCGATCTGGCAGGCAGTTCAGCAACCCTTTTTAGCTTGAAATATATATTTTTTTTGTTTCACGTGTGTGTAGGGGGTAGAAAGTGGGGGAGAACTGCCACGAGGGAACCGTCGTAGCGATCGTTAAAAGCGCGGGCCCCGTATATATATATATACATGGGCGAGCGCGCGTGTGTG